TAATAGCAACCAGCTTTATAATTAAGTAATTTTCTGATTGCATTTGATATTTAAAGGTTAAATATATCGTATTTATGATGGGATTTTCAACCACCTGTGAGATAAATAAATTCTGTAATTTTATCAGCTGTACAGGAGCTTCCATTCATGTTCTCAGCACTTAAGAATGGGGGTATAATGATAAAAAAAAAAAAAAACAAAAAAAAAACAACAACAACATGTGAATTTCAGTTTTCTGTTAATTTCAGTTTTGCTTCAGCAAGAGAAATCAATTTGGTGGGTTATAAATCTTAGGTGACTAAAATGAATACAAACTACAGTGCATTAAATTATATTATCAAACTTAATGTTTAAAGAAATTTGAAGTATTTTTTTTTTTTATTACTTATGTAAAGTTGCGAATGCTCCAATAAAAACATGTGCTCAGTGAATGGGGTGAAATACAGAAATCTAAACATGTTTTCAGCTCTAAGTGATTAAGTTACACTTTGTAAAACATGTTCTAGAGGATACAAAAAAAATAAGTCTCACTCTATCAGGTTGTTATCAGTTCTCAGAAGCCAGGCATTCCTCCCTTACAATTAAATGAGTGTAATATTATGTAACACAAATCAATCATCAGATTCTAAAAATATTGAGTTCCTCAAGTGCACCAGCAGCTGCAAGCATTCATTTTTTCACACTTGTATATTAATTTAATTAACTTTTCTTTGTGTATGAATAACCATCATGCACAATTCCATGATGACAGAGAAATCATGGAAGTTTTGTAGGTGTCTTGAAAGACAAGCCAACTTTGATGTCAAAGAAAATCATTGGTATATGTTTGAATTAGGGATGTCAATTTTATTCGGACAGCTTAGTCGAATATTCGGGGGCTTTAGTCGAACGATAGTCAAATATTCGTTGAAATTTAATTAATTAAATTAATTTAATTTTTCATGTCATTTTCACTATTTGTCTTTTATAGACTAGTTGTACAATATTTAACATACGCTATCACCATTTTACAGCGAATTTCTGAATCATAAACATTTATGTAGTACAATAAATACTGTACATCTACATTTATCCAATGCATTTGATTCAAAATTAATGTAATATTTACTGTACATTTTATCTAAATGCAGGATATCAAACGCTCGCATTTGTCCTTTCTTTTCATAATGATAGTACATGTACCCGTTAATTGAAGCCATTTCTACCTGTCGTGTCAGTGACCTTTGACAAGTAAACAATTAAAGCATACCTCTTATAAAAACAGAGAGAGAGTTGCGATAAATTTTAATTATGAGATTTTGTGCAAATAATCAATACAATATTAAAATGACTGCATAATATTAATATCAGAAAGAAACACCATTTAATTACGCTCATAACTATCCCCCAATTTACATGCATTTACAATTCTGTAACAACTTTTTAATTACTCTTTATGAATTGTTGCATTACGTCAGATCAAATAATTCTTGAACGTCCTCTCCATTTACAACAACAAGAGGTAGACAATCCTTGATAATCATGTTTGTGATAACAATATTTTTCTTTCTGACTCTGCTTTTTTTTTTTTTGGCATTTTTTCAGAGAACTTACTTAAGAAAAGTTTCACTTGAAGAATGTGTTTACTTAATGTATGTTTGACGGATTCGGCATATGATACATCATATTTGATTTTCCACTGCAGAATACAAGTTCAGTTTCATATAAACTTGATAACGTACTTTTAACTGTTTTTCCATCCTGACATCTTTTAAAGTATGACAAAACCGTAGATTTTGGAGGCATATTTGCCGAACATAAACCGACATACAGATAATTTCATTTGAACAGTTAAACCATACCCGGAGTTTTACTTACGAGAATATTGATATGTATATAAATGAAATGGGCGAATCCAAGTTTATTACCTTGACTTTAAAATTACTTTTAGGTAACACATTTTTTACGAATAACCGACTAAAGAAATTTTAGTCGATAATCGGTATGATCGAATGATAGTCGAGTACTCGAATATTCGTTGACATCCCTAGTTTGAATGACAAATTGCAAAAAAGGTAGTTAATGTACAGAATAAGATGTGATAACTAAGGTTGCCAACTTGGATTTGGTACCATTACCAAAATTTTTAGCACACCTAGACCTCCAGATGAGCATCTAGGATACACATTACCAGACTTTCTTTGGATGCTGGATCTGACCTACACTCTGGATAAGTAACCAGAATTAATATTTTAGGAGCAGGCCCATTCCCAAGTAACTACATGTATAAGTCCTTTTGTGACCAAACCTGTATGGATGATGAATCCAGGGATGCATAGTACTAGACATGCTTTGGATGCTGGATTTGAAATACATTTTGCAAATGAGTGACTAGATGAAAGTTTTAAGGCAAGTACATTCCCCAAGTAATTATAAGCTCTATCTGGACCAAACTTGCATTGTAATGCATCTAGGATACACATTACAAGGCTTGCTTTGGATGTTGGATCTGACCTACGTTTTCTGGATGAGTGACAAAATTAAGGTTTTAAGAGCAGGTCCATTCCCAAATAACTAATAAGTCCTTTAGTGACCGATCTTGTATGATGATGCATCTCGGGATGCATAATACTAGACATGCTTCAGTAGCTGGATCTGACCTACATTTTTCAGATGAGTGACCAGGTTAAAGTTTTTGAGGTATGTCCATTTCCAAGTAACTTAATAAGCCTTAACTGGAACAAATTTGCATAGATGATGCAAAGAGGTATGAACATTACCACAAGCTTTAGATGCTGGATATGACGCATATTTTCTAGTTGAATGACCGAGTTCAAGTTTTTGTAGTACGTCCCTTCCCGAGTAACTATTAGCCCTATGGTGACCAAAGTTGCATGGATTGCATGGTTGCATTACCAGGGTTGCTTTAGATGCTGGATCTGACTTACATTTTGTAGCAGGTCCATTCCCAAGTAACTATTATAAGCCCTACCTGGACCAAAGTTGCATGGATACATACCACCAGAATTTCTTCAGATGCTGGATCTGACTGCTTTTTGAAGCATGTCCATTCCATAAAAAGTACTGGCTTATCTGGATGATCTGACCAATATTTTCAAGATGACTAAAACAGTTTTTGGAACATTCTCAAGAAACTGTAAATCCTACCAAGGCCAAACTTACTTTGTTATTGCATCTAGATATGCAAACTAGCAGAACATTCATTTGACAAGAGACATTGCCTTAATTTATACATTCATTGAGGAGATAATCTTTATGCTAGTTATAGTTGTCTGTATATAAGGGTAGGCTTAAGTGTATTATTCAAGATAGTTATATATAGAGGCTGCAAAGCCCCTATGACCTTGAAAGAATTAACCAGGCAAACTAAGTGTCAAAGTTAGATCATAAATGTTTTCCTTAATTTTCCACACAAAACCTGATTACCTTATGTATGTTTAAAATTATTGAAGATTGAACTCTAATGCATATACAGTAAACCTTGTTTAGTGAAAACACAGACATAGCGAATTTACGGATATAGCGAAGTTTTTGGAATCCCCAGCAAAATGTTTAACAATTCCGTGTAAAATTTTACGGTTATGACAAAACTCTGATTACAGATATAGCAAACTGATTTTGTGTTCCATAGAGGTTAAAAATAACCATACATGTATTTAATCTTTTATAAGGAATTTTCAAAATGTCTAGTAATCTAAAATATTGAACAGACATTATTTTTCATTTAAGTATTTAAATTTGAAATTCAATTCATCAAAAAACTTTAGTAAAAGTAGTTAATTTTTATATTCAATACTTTGGAGAATATACTCATTAGTCAGACTTGAAGGAAAACAAGTATACTGTTACAGGGTTATTTTCGCCCTTTTACACTTGCAAACCATTTTGCCCCATTTTGAATTTCCCCTGGACACAGCTATGTTTAAGAGTTCATGCTGCTTTCTTTGAATTTGTCCCGTTTTAAATTCACCCAATTGTAACGAGAGCAAAAGAGTCGAAAATAAAACAGGGGCGAATATTTCCCTGTATACAGTATTACAAATTTGCAATATATATACTTTTAACGAATTCATTATAGGAATACAACAAATTACGGATATAGCAAACTAAATTCACACATCCCAAGGACTTCGCAATAACCGAGTTTTAGTGTAATAATATAGGATTAATAAGTATATTTTATTGAAATTTTTTGATACTAAATGTCCATTTTAGGTGGTGTGTGCCATTACCTATTCAGCCATATATTACGTTATATTTTACCTGATGATTAAGACTGAGGACACTGGAGAATCCTTTGTGTTCCAGTCCGTTAGGGACTTTTTCCCTAAAATTTTGCCCAATAAAGTGAGTAATGACCACAGGTAAACAATATATTCAGAAAAAAAAATTATTATAGCAGCAATATAAGCAATTTCAATTAGGAATATAGATTAAAGTAGCAATACTTCAATCACAGATTCTTGGGAAAAATTATATATTGATGAGAAAAGTGTCCTTTGACCTTAAATCAAATACAGTTGAGCAGTCTGTAGTCAAATATGCAAAATTACAAACTATATCACATTTTGGGGGAAAAAAGTTTTTAAATTATAATTTTAAAGTTGAATTTTTCAAGAACTGCATAATTTTACAGAGCTTTCTCCTGTTTCAGTCTTTTGTTGATTGGCGGTTAGTTTCATTAACAAGAAGTTTCTTTAAGCAGTCCATCTTCAAACAGCTACTGACGGAAGGTATCTAAATCATTGTGGTGAAAGGTCATATGAAAATAAACATAACAAATCAAAGGAAACCATACCAACCACTGATACATAAAATTAATTTGACGACATCACTAAGTTTAAGTGTCTTCATTTGTACGATATTAATTAATTTTTTTTTTGGATGTATTGTAGGTGAAAAGTACATTATGACTGTGTTTGGGGTCCTAAGCTTTGGAGACCAAGGTAATGGAGTGTTCATAAGATTTCAGATATCTAAGCCATGAATTTAGACTTATCTGTGTCTGTCTTATAGGCTCTGTTCATTAAAAAAGGTGATTTCCTAGAAATTAAAATGTGAAGTAATACATTTCAAAATGTTACCATCTCCATGTAGCAAAGTTGCAAGTTAAAGTAACCAATATGTTCATTGTGTGTTAGCGTGTGTGTGTGTTTATCTCGTATGTCACTTGTGTTGGATATGAGTTGTTGAATTTCAATATGTTAGGCTTTATTCAATTTTTCCAGTTGGAACTACTTCTGACACTGTCAATGACCTGTAGCTAGTTTTCAAGATTTCTGATTTTTTTAAAATGTTAATTCTCCCATTACTGCTTAAGGATCTACTTTGCCCAGATAACTTGGCAATGCATTAAACTTTTCAGTTTCTGCACTTTAATTTGTTGTATTCATTATTTGAAATCGTCTGAGATACTAGGAAATAGAACTTCTCTCTATGTATGATTTTTATTTTCTTTTTTCACCTTCTTGGTTGAAATGGTATATACTGGTAAGTTGGTTTGGGAATCCTGGATAAAGCAAATAAAAAATCACACATTATTATTGCATATTTAATGATGCCCAGAAATTTCATGACCTCCCAGACACTAGCTACTTTATACAAAGATGTCAGTGATGTTTTACTTAATAATATCAGGGTCAGAGATCAAAGGTCAAATGATGAATCTATTTTTCCCAAAAGTCCTACAGAGGCAGGAAGATCAATTTTCAAGATTAGGGTTGGAAATGCATATGACCATGCATACTTTAAATCCTTCTACATATGCAGACAAAAAGGACGAAAGAGGATGTCAAGGTCAAAGTCTTGTAGTAAATTTATAAATAATGCTTATGTAGTAGTATGTGTAATAGGAAAGGACTAGCTGAAAAGGAATATAACCTGGGACCCCTGTATCACATTGCAGGTGTGCTAACTACTGAGCTACCCAGGACAATATCTTAAAGGTCTATATAGCCCAAACTACAACACTTATAATGTTCCATTTCTTGGGGGCTTTTTTTTTATGAACTTCAAATTGTACTTTAAAGTTATTTAGGTAAGTGGATAGAATAAACAAAATTATATATTAAGTACATATTCATCATAATATGTAGTAGATTGTATATTAAATAAATTATTACACAATGCGCACATTTACCAGTATATAAAGTGTTGATACCTGTATGTTTATACCTGTATTGTTGTGTAACCTTGCAGGTTATTATGATATCATAGATAACACTGGTGTGGTGTTTAGGGAACTTGACGATTCCCTCCAGTATTTCTTCTACCCAGCCCTCCTGCGAGGCTTCCCCCTACACTTACAACCACCTGTAGGTTCATCAGCCTGCTATGCTTTGTTGTATGTTGTGTTTGGAAATCTTGAAGAATGATTGTGCATAAGGATTGTGCATAAAATCAGATATTTTAAAATATGACAGTTATTTTAAAGGGCAGAGCATGGGATAATTGGAGTAAGAATTGGACCAAGTTGAGACTGTCTGTCTGTCTAGAGCAATAAAGTGCAATTAATGAAAGATCTGAAAATATACAAATAACTGATATATTTATGCCCCCCCCCCCCAAGAGGAAATGACATATTGGTATGTTTGTTTGTCTGTCTGTCTAAGCCATCCTTCTGTCTAGCTGCTCATCTGTAACAAAATTATGTCCAGGCCTTAACTCTTGAACCATTGCTTAGAGTTTATTCAAACTTTAATAATTTTGCTGCCTATGGCAAACAATTGGATCTTTTCTTAAGATTCTGTATAAAATGTTGAGGTTAAAGTTGTTGCTGATGACTTAATTTACTCCAATTCATAAAGTATATGTGGAGATTTGAGAAACATTGCTTACATGTATAAATGAAGTACTATAGATATCCATATATTGATATAATATTTATAATATATATGTGCCACTGTATGTCCCAAATTTTGTTGTGTTGTTTTAGCAAATATATTGTTATATTGCACGAGATTCTTTTGTTATTTTTTAGAACCATGAGCACCATTATTACTTTTCTAAAACTTGACATTCAATTTACGACAGTGGTTTGAAGAGAAGGGGACATTCTGAAAAAAAAATGGGGATGTAGGTGCCTGTGGACAAATTTTTCTAACATTTTTATCTTCCATAAACTATTTGTTCTATGATAACTTAATATTATTTTTTAATTTTTTCCCTTAGGCATGATCTGGCTCATACTTCTCTCAAAGAGTACCCATGCCAGGGTTAAAAGTTCTTTCTTCTATATGCATCGTGCTTCAAACATAGAATGCTCAATTCTGCAATGACCTTCAAATAAGTTTCTCAGTCAAAAGTTAAGGTCAAGCAGACTTCTGTGTAATAAACTTTGCTGTTAGCACATTTTCTTTCCTATGTGTCAAATCTGGATCATACTTCAACCAAAGTGTGTGTGTGGGTAAAATGTGTGCTGTGACTTTGAACCAAATTTCTAAGTCAAGGTTAAGGTTAAAGCAGACCTCTATGTAAAAAGGTCAGAATTCAGGATCAACGTAGACCTTCATATAAAATTCTTGTTGAGTGTATACATTTCCTGATCTTGGACCAGTGTGGCTCCTACATGTACATTGTACTTCACCCAAAGAGTGCCCTTTGGTAAAGGGTATGCATTATTTGAACCATATGAGAGGTCAATATTTTTGTATAAACAATCCTTGTAGGGGGTATATTTTAAATTCTCTCTCCTTTGTCAAATTTAGCCCCCACAATTCACCCATATTGTGTCTTCGAAAAAAAATCATAGGTAATGTAAATGTATATTTGATAAAACATTAATTGATTTCATTTTATTAGGTCACCTGAGTCACTCAGGTGACCTATTGCTATCTGTTTTCGTCCGTCGTCGTCCGTCAGTCATAAACTTTTGAACATTTACAGCATCTTCTCTTGAACCACTGAACCAATTTCAACCAATTTTGGCATATAACATCAATGGGTGAAGGGGTACAAAAATTGTGAATTTCATGGTCCCTGCCCCCCTGGGGCCTGAGGGGTGGGGCTAAAACCATCAAAATTAGTGCTATCTTTAAAAATCTTCTTCTTTACTCCTGGACATCAAGCAGTCAAACTGTTGGCATGATTGTAATAAGCATTGAGCCCTCTACCAAAATTGTGAAATTCATAGCCCCAGGGTCAGGGGTTCTGGTGCTAGGGTGGGGCTATATAGATCATAAAGTGAAAGTGCATTATTTCTTTGAAAATCTTCTTCTCTACTCCTGGGTATTATTTAAATAAATTAAATACATAGTTATGATAAGCAAGGGTGACTCTACCAAAATTGTGAAATTCATAGCCCCAGGGTCAAGGGTTCTGGTGCTAGGGTGGGGCTATATAGATCATATAGTGAAAGTGCATTATTTCTTTGAAAATCTTCTTCTCTACTCCTGGGTATTATTTAAACAAATTAAATACATAGTTATGGTAAGCAAGGATGGCTCTTCCAAAATTGTGAAATTCATGGCCCAAGGATCAGGGGTTCTGGTGTTAGGGTGGGGCTATATAGATCTTATAGTGAAGGTGAATTATTTCTTTGAAAATCTTCTTCTCTGCCCCTGGGTATTATTTAAACAAATTAAGTACATTGTTATGATACAAGGATGCTTCTTCCAAAATTGTGAATTTCATGGCCCCAGGGTCAAGGGTTCTGGTGAAAAGAGGGGGGGGGGGGGGGGGGGGCTCTATTGATTATATAGTGAAAAAGCAAAATTTCTCTGAAAATATTCTTTTCTGCTCCTGGTTAAAAAGCAAAGAAGCTAAGTGTATAGTTATGATGAGCAAGAGTGCTTCTTCCAGAGTAGTGAATTGCATGACCCCTGGGTCAGATGTGCTGGTGTAAGGGTGGGGCTCTTGATAATATAGTGAAAATGCATTAATTCTATTAAATAATCCTGTCTACTCTTAGTGTTAAGCAGATAAACAAAGTGATTACTTATGATGAGCAAACTTCTGGTCCCAGGGTGAGAGGATCTGGTGTTTCTCACTGGGGAGGGGGGGGGGGCTCTATTGATAATATAGTGAATCTGTAATAAAAATGCATCATTTCTTTAAAAATCTTCTCTGCACCTGGGCATATCAGAGGCAAAAAGAGTAAAAGTTTTAATAAGGAAGAGTATTTTTACCAGATTTTTGAACATCTGGACCATTTGGTCAAGTGTTCTGATCCTGGCCAGGGCTCTATTAATTTGTATTCTACTGAGAGGAGTTATTCCCCTTTGCCATTTACTTTTGATAATTAATCACTGTAAATAATGTACTTGAAAGGTTAATAGAATAAGAGAATTATGCAAGAATTTTTATTGTGTAATACAAAAAGTACTTTCGTAGTTTTAATGATCAGGTGTACTTGTAAGTAATAGATAAATAAAAACGAGACAAAAATAACTTGTCTTTTTAAATGTTCATCAAAGACCAAGAGAAGCCAATGTAAGAGATTTCAGCAAGGAATTAAAATAGTACAGAAGCACTGATAGTTTGCTAATATACTGTATGATGATAGTGATAAATGGGGAACAGATTAGAATCTAATTTATGAACTGTTAATGAATACTAGACTAATTATTTTGTTGATCCTGATCACCCTATTTTTCTTGCTTTTGGGCAACAAAGCTTCACCTTTCAGTTCATTTTATACTCTATTGATCCTCTAAATTGTTGTATTATACTCAGGTGACTGTTAAGGCCCTTGGGCCTCTTGTTTATTATATATTAGGTAGATCCTACCATTTCTTTTCTAAAGTTTATTTAGATTTATGATAATTTTTCCACTTACATAATCTTAATGGTCATTAACTCAATAAAATGATGTTTAAAATTCATTTTTCAAAAACTTTTTCCCTTTTACCCCAGTTTTTTTTTTTTTTTTTTTTTTTTTTTTTTTACAATAAATAAATAAATTAATAGATAAATAAATAAATAAAAATAAAAGGAAAGACCAAAAAAAAAAAATTCAAGTAGCAATTTTTTCTCCTTGACACCAATTGAGATAAAAACTGAGTTCTGAATGGCCTTCAATCTCCAAATGCAGTTCTTTAAAAGCCCCTTTTGTCCCAATTTGCTTTCCTTTACTAAAAGTGGGACCCTGTCAGAGATGGATATAAGCATCTCAGTTATATCTTAGTTCTGTATTTATTGTGAAATGCTGTGTAAAATGTCTAGAATATGAGATTACCCTGTATGTAATAATCCTCTTTTATAAGTACATAACCACACATTAAACTGCAGGAAAATTGGCATTTTCAAAATCATATTTAGTCAATTACAAACATGTAGAACTGGTCTTAGTGACCATAAATATATAGTTACCTTGAGAGCGGTGAAAATATCCTTGCGTGCATTCCAGCAAATAATTGCTGGTGTCAAAGAATATTCTATTTATAAACAGAACCTTTTCAACTAAGCAAAAGAAGGCATCATTGACTCTCAGCAGTTGCTCCTACTAATTACTATAGTTAAATGTAGAGATTGCATGTTGACCACTCATACCTTTGCTTGTAGGAGTGTATGACATCATTAACAATTTGGGTTCCATGGCTCCACGGTTTATTTTTCTTCCAATAGAAGAGAGCAGTCGTCTCTTTTTTTCCTGTTCATTTTCCCGCGGCCAAAGCCTTCGACAACAAAGCAAAGTAGGTTCTGACATTGTACAACATTAGGTCAAAGTTCATATCTCATGTCTTTGTATGTAATACATGTATTGTGCAAGATTTTATTAAAGTACATGTATGTAAGAATACCTATATACAGTGTATTAGCCTTACTCTTAGTGTAGAAGCATGCAGATATACATACTATAGTTAAAGCAATATGAGCTGCATTTTTGAAAATTTTATTTTGCTGTAAAAATATGCTGTTATGATAAATCTGTCAGTAAATTAAACCTTTATGATCAATTAGACTAAACTAAACTATCAGTTTGATTCAAAAGAATAATTTCTGTACAAGGGAATGTATATAAGTATTATATAAGAAATCAATATTGTACAGGACAACAATAATGTATTTTTTTGCTTCAATCAAAGCTTAACATTATACATTGTAGTAATTTTCCATCGAAAATATTAACAATAGAAGTTTATAAACGTTCTTTTTTCTGTCATTGAAATAGTTAAAGAGACAAAAAGGGGAAAATTGACAATAGTAGAATTTTTGCATGACACAGGCAAATTTTGTTCAATTCTTTAAGTTATTTGCTCTCAGAAAATTACAAGTTTCTGAACCTAAAAAATCTACTTTTATGGAGAAAAATAAAGTAAAAATAATTTTTGTTTGCCCCAGCACAAAAATATTGCTTCACTTCTTCCTCTTTATTGTACGCATGCGCAGAAAAGTTGAAGAATTTACCATGATGTCAATTCCATAGATATAAATGTCGGATGACCGAGGACTTTGATACAATCTTCAATAAAGATGATCAGAACTTATTTCTCACTTTTGCTTGCCCCAATTCAATTTTGTTTACAAGATTCATGCTAAGCATAAAAGTCGTGTGACCTCGACATTGTTGACATTGACGATGACAACTAAGCGATAGATACAACCTTTGCTTTTCTGGCATTACATTTTGCAGTTCTTTTCTTGCTTTACAGTGCAATTGAGTAGTCAAAACTCCTGTTTGTTCATATTTCACATAAATCTTTTGTTTTATGATTCAATTTTCTTAAAAGAAACACATGATTTTGACTCATTATGTAACTTTAATTTCAATATTGCAACAAAAATTTCTGACATCAAAGTTGCAGCTCATATTGCTTTAATATTCTAGACTAAGTATAACCTTTGACTAAAAAGGAATATTAACATAAAAATCAATCAAATGCAATTGAATCTAATATTTTAATAAAATTTACTTAATTTTACACAATTTGTTTTACATGTAGACACCGTATAGTGGGATTTTTTAGTGGGGTGATAAGTTTGGCTTAATTAAGTGGTTTGGTATGTAGTAGTCCACTAAAATTTTAATTGCTAAATTTGCTCTTGTCTATATAAGTACTGAAAACAAGAACTATAAAACTTTCATCAATCTGTTGTTAAACATGAAAACTCATCTGAGAATTACTTACTCTGGTTTTTGATTCTCATTACCAATAACCATGGTAATTCGTGATGTGACCTATTTTGATACTAAATTAAATTGTTTCTTGTTTTTCTTTTCATATCTATGGTACCTGAATCAATACTCTGTTAATTGGTACAGAATTAAGCTACTGGTTTGCAATATTTCATGGAACTCAAAGCAAAAAAAAATGCCAAATTTTACACATGCAATGCTAAAAAAAAACCTGCTATGGTTTTTCATCATTGAAATACATGCATATTCAGATATATTTTTTAATATGCTTGTTTTATAAATACTGAAGAATTCAACAACAGCAAAGTAAAATACATGTAAATTCCTGTTTCAGGACTCCGTTGATTTAGTGACCAGTGTCCTAGAGCACCTGCTGAAGACAGTGACTCTCATTGGCTCCATCATCCTAGTGTTTGGCCAGTCTTATGCTTTCTTGGCCTTAGATCTGTATGGAGGCTCATTGCTCTCTGCAGGGTCTGGTAAGTTTTCTGTAGACACAAAACATGGTTAAAGAAATGTGGGGCTATCATTTATATATATTCTTGACTAGAAGGCTTATTTAGTAGAGCACCTGTCTAGAAAGGGTCTGTCTATAGCAGGGCTTCATTAAATCATATTCCAAAGTCATGCTGGTTCAATTTTTTTTATGCCCCCGGATCGAAAGATTCCGGGGGTATATTGTTTTTGTCCTGTCTGTCTGTTTGTCTGTTTGTCTGTTTATCTGTTTGTCTGTTTATCTGTTTGTCTGTTTGTCTGTCTGTCTGTTGTCAACTTTAACCTTGCCCATAACTTTTGATTGGTTGGAGCTATGACTTTCATATTTCACATGTGTATTCTTTGTGACAAGACCTTTCTTTGGGTACCATCATATTTGACCTTTTAACCTTGACCTTGGAGTTTGACCCACTTTTGCAAAATTTTATGAGACTTTAACCTTCACCATAACTTCTGAACAGTTGGTGCTTGGGGTTTCAAACTTCACATGTGTATTCCTAGTGACAAGACCTTCCTCTGTATATCAACTTCTTTGACCCTTTGACCTTGACCTTGGAGTTTGGCCTACTTTTGAAAAACTTTAACCTTGGCCATAACTTTTGAACAGTTAGTGCTTGGGGTTTCAAACTTCACATGTGTATTCCTTGTGACAAGACCTTCCTCTGGATCAACCTTGACCTTGGAGTTTGACCCACTTTTGCAAAATTTTATGAGACTTTAACCTTCACCATAACTTCTGAACAGTTGGTGCTTGGGGTTTCAAACTTCACATGTGTATTCCTAGTGACAAGACCTTCCTTTGTATATCAACTTCTTTGACCCTTTGACCTTGACCTAAAAGTTTGACCTACTTTTGAAAAACTTTAACCTTGGCCATAACTTTTGAACAGTTAGAGTCAGGGCTTTCATACTTCACATATGTAATCCTTGTGACAAGACCTTCGTTTGGATACCAACCACTTTGACCCTTTGACCTTGACCTAGGAGTTTGACCTACATTTGAAAAACTTTAACCTTGGCCATAACTTTTGAATGGTTGATGCTAATGCTTTCATACTTCACATATGTAATCCTTGTGACAAGACCTTTCTTTGGATACCAACCATTTTGACCCTTTTGACCTTGACATAGGAGTTTGACCTACTTTTGAAAAACTTTAACCTTGGCCATAATTTTTGAATGGTTGGTGCTAGGGCTTTCATACTTCACATATGTAATTCTTGTGACAAGGCCATCCTTTGGATACCAACCACTTTGACCCTTTGACCATGACATAGGAGTTTGACCTACTTTGGAAAGACTTTAACCGTGGCCATAACTTTTGAATGGTTGGTGCTAGGGCTTTCATACTTTACATATGTAATTCTTGTGACAAGGCCATCCTTTGGATACCAACCACTTTGACCCTTTGACCATGACATAGGAGTTTGACCTACTTTGGAAAGACTTTAACCGTGGCCATAACTTTTGAATGGTTGGTGCTAGGGCTTTCATACTTTACATATGTAATCCTTGTGACACGACCTTCCTTTGGATACCAACAACTTTGACCTTGACCTTGATGTTTTACTTACTTTTAAAAAACTTTAACCTTCGCCATAACTTTTGAACAGTTGCAGCTAGGGCTTTCAAATTAAACATTTTTTATTTTTGGCCTGGATTTTGACTTGCATTTGAGAAATTTTAACCTTCACCATAAGCTGCCATACGGGGGCATCAGTGTTTCACAAACATATCTTGTTTATTTCAAAATGATGAACCCTGGAGTACGATGGAAACTGGAAGTCAAATTTTATAAAATACACAATTTATTGTATGTACAGTTGAGCTTTTTTAATCCAGATGTTTGTTTCCCAAGTATTAAGTTTTCAGAATTAAAAATTTTCCAGGTTCCCTGCATCGTCGGATACCCACGGGTGATCTCATCTTTTACTTATCATTGTCGGATAGCCACTGGTGATCTTGTCTTTTACTTATTAGTGATAAGTAAAAGACGATATCACCCATGGGTATCGGACGATGGGTTCCCTAATAATGAGTTGACACTCTCTCTATGTCTTTGTGCTAGCTGTAAATGGTAAAATAGAATACTATATAATTTTTCTAGTCACCTGATATTGTCAGAGGTGATACTACATGTATTTTTATGTTTTGATGCTAGCAGTTTTTAACAACTAGTGGTTTTATTTTGCAGGTCCCCTGTTATTAAGATGGTACTGCCTCTATGTTTTGGTGCTAGCAGTAAATGGTATAACAGAATGCTTCTATTTTGCAGTTATGAGTAAGAAGGAGATTGACAGGTTTAGTTAATTCTTTTAATATGTTTCAGTGGATAAGATTTCTTTATAAAAAATCTTGTAACGTTAAAGTTTTGTAATATCATCATTTATGCTATTTTTAATCAAACATTGAAAAATTACTTCAGCTCTTCCATCATCAACTTTCCTTATTTATATAGTAATATTCCAGCTTCACCTACATACAGTTTTTATGTTTTCCAGCTGATTTGGTATGCAAGTGCATGCTCTGAGTACAATTTTGAAACTAACGCAAGCTACTGACAAATAAGTTGTTTCAAGGATTTCAACAACCTCATTTAAAGTCTTCTTTTTGCAAATTCCTACTGTTGTTGAATTGACCTTGTTATTAAATACAACCTTTCATTGGGTTGTATTTTGTCTGACATGTTTCATAAAATTTGTTAGGTCATTGCTTTTATACAAAATTTGATTATGGAGTACCTTGTCAACCTGATCCTTACATAGGGCTCCTCGCTGGTGTGACTTGTCAACAGGGGATGCTTACTCCTCTTAGGCACCTGAACCCACTTTTGGTGTTTCCAGGTGTCTATGTTTTTGATCTGTTCAACATTCATTTTGTTCACTGGATTTATGAGATTAATCCCTGTTTATTGTTTTTACCTTTTACAATTTGACAGTGAGACCGATGTCACTCTAATTTTGCTTTTTTGGTGTGCCTGGTATTTTGTAGTTAATAATTTTAATACTTACAAAATTGTTGGTTATTTATATGATACAGGTAATATAAATGCACTTTTTAATAGTTCATGACTCTGTCTTTTGTGTAATACATGGTGATGGTATTTTACAGTTATAATCACAAGATGTTACTGTTCTCGGTTATTCTGCTGGTGTCCTCTCTGTTCCTGACACGCCTGGTAGGAAGTGTGGGATTTGTTCTGGCAAACTGCATCAACATGGCATGTCGGATAATGCAAAGGTATAAATAAAGACTTGAAAAGGATATAAAGTGTAACAGGGGGTTGTGTATAAATAAGTAACCACGCCTCTGTCAGGGTTCAGGTCTAATTTTATTGACACAGTGAGCAGTATGTAAAGATATTAACATAGCCCTAAAATATAATAAAACAACAATATTATATCACATCAAATCAATCCTATTAATGCATCATTTATACATATTGCTTTCATAGGTAACATATCGATAATGATATATTATAAATAAGATGCATATATGTACATTTACTCTCAATTAAGGGAGATAACTCTTACAACTTATATATAGTAGGGATGTCAACGAATAGTCAACTATTCGACTATCAGTCGAATGGACCGACGATCGAATAATGAAACGACATTCGAATAAATAAATTCAATAAAAAAATGATGAAGAGATGGAATTCTCATCTTAAAATTGAAAACCGTCTTTCTCAGACACAGTCGATAAGATAATTTTCCTCATTAAAAACTGTTGACTTTACATGTAGAAAGTACAGTAATTAGAAATGCTTCACTTCCGCGAGAATTATTTGTCAATTAAAGTGTTGTTTTTGTAATAAAATTATTTCTCTATACTGGGCTTTGTTTGTTAAATTATTAATTGGACTTGATCTCATACCATGTACCCATTATAGCCCGACATGTTTGGACACTATGATAATTATTTATAAAATTAATATTCTTTTACAAATTTTAAGACATTTTGATAGCCGGGACAAAAAGTATATTCAACTGTTTAACATTATCACAGACACCTGGCGTGTGGATATTGTGTGTTTTACCTCCCCCCCCCCCCCTTCATTATTTTAATAAGCTTTAAAAAATATATAGTGCTGTCATTTTTTATGCTGGACATGATTGACGGGGAAACCATACATTATGGAGAAATTAGCAATCTATATTTAGTTAATTTAAACACACTATCTACATTTTAGGTGCATGTGAACATCTTTGTGTAACATTTGTTGTTACATTTTAATAAATTTGAGAAAAGGGCTTTTTGGGTTAAATATGTCATGTACCAATGAAGTTTGAAATAAAATTTTATTTTCCAAAAAAGTTTCGAATATATTCGACTATCATTCAAGTAATGCAATCGAATATTCGACTAAAGAAAATAAATATTTTGACATCCCTAATATATAGACATTACATATTTTCTCCTTTATAAAGGCATAAAAAATATTACAAATTAAAACAAATAGTTCCTCACCATTCTGTGGGAAAAGGCTATACCACATGAATGTGTGATGCTTATATCTGATCATAAATATATGTATATGGACTCAGGAAATGGAAAAAATAAGTCTCCATGTCAAGGTCATGAGAGAGTCCATAAAATACTGTCTTTGCCAAAACTCAACAAGACAAAGAATGAACATTTTGGCGGTAAAACCAATGACCATAAGAATAAAACCAATGAGATCCAACTTCATAAACAAACTACCAATGAAAACCAATAAAACACCAAAACCTTTGACCTGCCATAGGGTAACTAATTATCTATATACATGTACAAGTTTACAGGTAGGGCTATGGATATAAAGGGGTGGATCCAACTTTTCATAAGTTTAACTATTAAGGTTGTTTAATTTATTTACATTTAATTTAAAACATTTATTTATTAATTATAATCCACACTACTAATGTGATTAATTTACCAGCTAGAATTATCCGATCACCAGATCACTTCAGATCTTTATCACATGTAACTCCTTTCACATTTCAAAATATGATATTGAGTAAAGTTAACATTTCTTTTCCAGCATTTATTTCATTCATAACTACTACAAGGACAGTGGCTATAAACCTCTGAAGGGTTTTATCCCCTCATGTCCAGTCATAGGATCACTGGCTGCGGCATATTGTATAACAGCATTGTCAGAGGTAAGTAATACTGTTAAACCTCATTATCTCTCTCAGGTGGGCAGAGGTAAGTAATTCAGTCAAACCTCGTTATCTCGGTCAGTGGGCCGAGGTAAGTAATACAGTCAAACCTGGTTATCTCACTCAGTGGGGCAGAGGTAAGTAATACAGTCAAACCTCATTATCTCACTCAGTGGGGCAGAGGTAAGTAATACAGTCAAACCTCATTATCTCACTCAGTGGGGCAGAGGTAAGTAATAGAGTCAAACCTGGTTATCTCACTCAGTGGGGCAGAGGTAAGTAATACAGTCAAACCTTGTTATCTCACTCAGCAGGGCAGAGGTAAGTAATATAGTCAAACCTGGTTATCTCACTCAGTGGGGCAGAGGTAAGTAATACAGTCAAACCTTGTTGTCTCACTCAGCGGGGCCAAGAAAAAACTTAGAGATATCCAAGGATTCAATACTTACATGTATGTATAGGAAAAGTGGTTTGGACATCCAACTCACTTTGCCATGTCCTTGGTATTCAAGATATCCATGTTGGAGATACCAAAGTTTAACTGTATATCAGAAATTTCTTTATTCAACATTGATAAAGTATATCATAATTTGTCAACCCAAAGTCAGGGACATATTGTTATTGCTAGATAGTGTTGCAAAATCGAACCAGTTACTATCGATCCAACTTCAAATCAACGTTAAAAAATAAACCACTTTGGTTAAAAAAGTATATTTTCAGAATATTTAGTGACTCTTGATGTTATTTATTATGGATTGATGCTGATGCAGAAATTTTGTTAGCAACAATCATAATAACATTTTTGCTAGTTCTATAATTTTGTCCGTGAATGTTCTGTAAGACATTACTTTTCTTTCTTTCAGAGCTACTTTTGTTGTGGCTACGGCAACCTGTACCGACTCCTTCATATTGTCATTGGAGGACTCTGTTTATTGGGTGTAATGATTACTATAGCTATCAGGGAGAGAGAACTAGTGCAATTTGTGACAACTCAACTCTGGGGACGCAAAATTGGAAAGACTAACTTCTAATGTACTGTACAGCCTGCTACATTCTTGGAAAATACAGACAAATATATCGACTTCCCCAGGATATTTCTTTTTATTTATTTTATATGAATGGGGATTGTCAATCAACAATCAACAAAGATATGTGTCTTATGTATGAAAACATAATACATGTATATTATAATAAAGAAAATGTCAAAGAATAGGTAGAAATGACATTTTTTGGGATCATTGATGAAAATCATACAATGCACATTAAAATCATTTATGTAATTTTGATTTCCTTTCCACAGACTGAAATATGGAGATAATGAACAGTATTCAAGCTCATAAGTCCATTCAAACAATACAAATCAGAAGCAGAGCAAACACGGACCTCTTAAACATCAGAGGTGGATCAGGTGCCATGGAGGAGTGGGCATCTCTGCTGACCGTTCACACCTGCCGTGTACTCCGTGTCATGATCGGGGGAAGAAAATGGAAAAATCTGTAGACAATTCAGTTTGTAAATAATGGCCTAACAATTAGTATGAAAAACATCAGTCAGCATTTGACTTAATGATAAATTATATTTGCTTACAAGGTCATTGTATCGACCATAAAACTTGCAAAATGACGACTTTAAAGAAGACTGTTGATATTTTTGTTTCATCAACTTGTTTGTCAATAGCTTTCCTTGTTTTAGAAATTGATCGTACACAGAGCATGATCAACTGAAAGACATAAACCCCATATGCAGGTGATAAGGGTACATTGCTACATAAGTAAGGGAGGTTGAAGTCATCACGTTTATCATAAAGCTTCAATTATTGTTAGGTTACCATTAATGTCTTTTTCTAGTAAAATATCCAAATATGACACAGATGTGTCAGACTCTGTGGTATCTTTTATTTCAAGCTCACTGGGATATATCAGTCAACATGTGAATGGAAGTAATTATTATTAATTGATAATAAGTTGTGAATATATCTAAATGTCGAGTTGAAAGCTACAGCAAGTGTTTTGTTCTTCTCATGTATCAGATTTTGAATAAAATCTGCTTCATATGAATACAAAAATAGGTCTGCAAATAATGGGGCGCAATTGGTACCTATGGGAATTCCGATAGATTGTTTGAAAACCTGATCTCCAAAAACTACATAGATATTTTCAATCAGAAACTCAAGCATCTTTTTAATATCAACTTCAGAGTACTTGTTTGTACAATCATAGTGTTTTTAACAAAATATTAAATTCTGCAAATGACCAATCACAGGGTAAGTAAATTTACGAGTTCCATTTTTAGCTCTTCTGAGCCAAAGGCTCAAAGAGCTAATGCTATGGCCGTTTGTGCCGTGTGCATAAACTTTTTAGAATATGGGCCATAACTGGAGAACCCCTTGGCCAATTATTGTCAAATTTGTCACGGGGTATCCTTGGCTCAAGGGCTCCTGTTTATACTACATGTAAAACTAGGGTTGTGACCCTTAAACAAGGGGAGATAATTAGGAAAAAAGAAACAAAAGTACTGGTTGCTAAAAAATCTTCTCAAGAACCACTGTGCAGATTATCACCAAACTTACACAAAAGGATGAGGATATGTTGTAGATTAAAATTTGCACGGGGATTTACCCTGGGGCAAAGGGCGTGGTCTCAAGGTCACTCCAAAGTTGACCAAAAATTACATTTTATTAAAATGTTAATATTTTGCTTACTTTACGGACTAGGATCATCAAATCTTGTCAATTGATACATCTAAGGACCTCATATCATGTTGACTCAAAAGTAGGTAATGGTGACCTACTTTTTAAATTTTGCAGCCATTCTTTTTCAAAATGATTTAGAGGCATATTTTGAACAATTTTAGGCCTATGATCATCAAACTTTGTCAGTTGATGTATCTTGGGTCCTCGGACTATGTTGACTAAAAAGTAGGTCAACTTGACCTACTTTTTGAATTTATGGTTAATCTTTTTCAAAACAATTAAGGTCATTAATTCAAATACTGGGAGGTTTAGAATCATTAAATCTTGTAAGATGATGCATCTTGGGGCCATAAAACATAGGTCACAGTGACCTACTTTATGAACTCTGCAGGCATTCGATTTCAAAGCATTTTAGAGGCATAATTTGGACATTTTAAGGCCTATGATCATAAAACTTTGTAAGTTGATGCATCTTGGGTCCTCAAAAAAGGTCAACCGTGACCTACTTTTCTATTTATATGACTATAAATAAATATTTCAGGTACTAATTGGCTTAGAATCATCAAACTTTGTCAGTTGATGCATCTTGGGTCCTTGGAGTATGACAACTGAAAAGTAGGTCACCCTGACCTACTTTTGAAATTTTATGGCTGTATTTAATATTTTTCAGGTACTATTTGGCTTAGAATCATTAAAATTTGTCAGTTGATGCATCTTGGGTCCTTGGAGTTGGTCACCCTGAACTCCTTTTGAAATTTTAAGGCTGTATTTAATATTTTTCGGGTACTATTTGGCTTAGAATCATCAAAATTTTTCAGTTGATCTATCTTGGGTCCTCCCAGTAGGTCAACTGAAAAGTAGGTCACCATGACCTACTTTTGAAAATTTATGGCTTTAATTAAATATTTCAGGTACTAATTGGCTTAGAATCTTCAAACTTTGTCAGTATATGCATCTTGGGTCCGCAAAGTTAGTCGACTGAAAAGGAGGTCACTGTGACCTATTTTTGAAATTTTATGGCTGTATTTAATATTTTTCAGGTACTATTTGGCTTAGAATCATTAAAATTTGTCAGTTGATGCATCTTGGGTCCTTGGAGTAGGTCACACTGAACTCCTTTTGAAATTTTAAGGCTGTATTTAATATTTTTCGGGTACTATTTGGCTTAGAATCATCAAAATTTTTCAGTTGATCTATCTTGGGTCCTCCCAGTAGGTCAACTGAAAAGTAGGTCACCATGACCTACTTTTGAAAATTTATGGCTTTAATTAAATATTTCAGGTACTAATTGGCTTAGAATCTTCAAACTTTGTCAGTATATGCATCTTGGGTCCGCAAAGTTAGTCGACTGAAAAGGAGGTCACTGTGACCTATTTTTGAAATTTTATGGCTTTATTTAAATATATCAGGTACCTCTTGGCTTAGAAACATCTTATTTTGTCAGTTGATGCATCTTTGGTCCTCAAAGTATGTCATCTGAAAAGTAAGTCACTGTGACCTACTTTTGAAATTTTTCGGTTATAATTTTAAAAATATTTTAGGTATTAATTGGCTTAGAATCATCAAACTTAGTTGATGCATCTTGGGTCCTCAGAGAATGACAAGTGATTAGTAGGTCACCATGACCAACTCTCAGGTACTAATTGGCTTAGAATCATCTTGGATTCTCAGAGTGTTTCATCTAAAATGTAGGTCATGATGATCTACCTTTGGAATTTCAAGGGTTTATCTAAATATACAGGATACTTAGAGGCTTCAAATAGAAGTGATAGGTTGTACAGTTCATCAGAAGAGCGATTCAAAGTCCTTGGGCCTCTTGTTATTGAAAAAGCAGCTGTCAATGATGGCAAAAAGCCTGGACTTTAATTTATTGTGGGGAATGGTTGTATAAATTGTTGAAAAGTCTTTTTTTTTGGTGATAATAATTTTGGTAAAATTTTGTGATTTCAAAGAAGATGGGCGAACAACAAGGTGAGTGAAATGCCTATAGCATGACAAACATAAAGGTGAAAAATTAAATCTCAATTATGACAAAATTTTCTTTGACATTTCATCTAACATTAAAGTAAACTTTATGAAAAATATGCACAATTTGCAAAAACCTCACAAAGATTGAAATTATTTCCCTATGAAATGGCATACATACACTAAAGAGGGCAAAAAAGATCATTTTCTCGTACTTTAACACAATTTTTCGATATGAGTGGGTCTTTGCTCCATTTTTTTGAAAGTTGTCCTGAGAGTTTTTGTAAAAATGTACATATTTTGGTTAACAAAACATGGAGCAAAGACCAACTATACCTTAAAAATACACTTTTTGACACAACATTTGCATATTTCTGAGAAATACTTGAAGTCCATTTGGTCAAGGGTCATATCACAAACATGATTTAAGATCTAACAACACATTCCTCAAATATCTGATTTTGTATCTCTCAAATATACAAAAACCTTTTTGTTTATTATTATCTTCTGATTTCTAAACCGTTTTTAAAATATTTGGAAAAATATAGGAACCAAAAATGGTGATACAAGCAGTTCAATTAATTTTATGTAAAATTATATAGGAAATACCATCCTCTTCAATCTTGCACAAATGCCTGGTTATGTACCCTAATTTTTTGTGAGGAAGTTTCTTAAGGAAAGAGAACTTCAATATCAAATTCTTGGGAAAAATTATCTATTTTTGAGGAACGTGTTGTCTGACCTTAAATGCCACTATCCATCAAGAGTTCTGTAGCGTAGTGTTTAGCGTGTTGGTCTCAAAGGAAAATAATACTCAGGATTTTTATTGCTAGGGTTCAAACTCTGCAAGTATCACATCATTTTTTAATAACAGAATTCTTTTTCTCAGAAAAGTGTTGGTTTTCATACTTTCATAAATTTCAATAAGAAGAACTTTACCCTAAACACTTAATTCACAAATTGAATATTATTTTTACATATCTGAAGCTATGCCTTGTTCATCCATCTCCTTTTCTAAAAGTGGAATTTTTGAGTGTCCACATCTGTTTTACACCACTTCTCAAATAAAAGAAATTGCTGTTTGGTTTACAACTTTTAAATACATATAAATTGTGGGTAGAGTTAAATTTGTAAATTAATGTAACAGACCACGAGATGCTGCTGGTATGGGGACTATGCTACTCTATGTTATGTGAATACAGCACTTTAAGTTACACTATAATATTGTTAAGTTTGGTGATAATGATAGTGTGTGGTTAGCACTGGCACACACAGGCAAGTAAATACATGTAGATCTACATTCTGAGTTGTTGCTTATTACCAGATTAATTATTTTAATGATCATCCTATTTCTCTTTTTCTGAGAAACATATCTGCATCCATTGCCATTCAATTGATCCTTTTTAAAATAACATAAATTGTGCACTGCACTGAGTTTAACATTATCAGTTTATTGCATAAGTTTATTTTACAACATAAATAAATGTACATGTTGTCAAATACATGCAACTTCTTCTTCTTATTGTCTACACCACAATGGCATACATAACAATGCGATCCTACATGCATTAAAGTAAGTTGTACACATTTTAAAATATAGTTCATGGACCCCACAGTAAAAAGCATTGGAAACATAGATTTCATCTGTATGTACAAAGATTAAGAGAGAAGCATGCCACTACCTTCTGAAGATCTGTAACAACTTAAAGTTTAGAGTTTTTATTAAAAAAAAAAAAAAAAAACAACAAAAAACAAGTTGCTACCATACCCTTAAAACATAGGTAATCTGAGATTACAGAGCTCACCTCAATGAATGTTAAGTAAGGCAAAGTCCCATAATAAACTAATTATCTACTAGTGTGCATCCCTAGATGTAACATTTATGCAATTTTGATCTGATAGGGCTTGCAATTACTTGGGAATGGACTTATCTAAACACTTTAAACTACTCACTCATCCAGAAAATGTGTCAAATCCAGCATCCGAAGCAAGTTTGAAAGTGATCATCCCTTGATGCATCATCCATGCATGTTTGGTTCAGATAGGCCTTATAGTTTCTTGGCAATGGACCTGCTTCAAAAACTTTAACCTGTCACTCAACTGGAAAATATAGTCAGATCCAGCATCTGAAGCAAGTCCAGTAGTGTGCATCCTTAGATGTATCATTCATGCAAGTTTGGTCAATATGAGTCTTATAGTTACTTGGAAATGAGATCTGCTCCAAAAACTTTAACCTGCTCCAAAAATGTTAACCTGGTCATTTTTAACTGAAATTGCAGTATCTGAAACCTTGACTAGTACAATGAAACATACTAGAAGCATCTGATTGACATAGGGCATAGAAGTACTTGAAAAGAAATCTGCTCCAAAAACTTTAACCTGGGATGCTGACGCCGAGGGTATTACATAAGCTCCCCCTACTTCGTTGAGGTGAGCTAAAAATTATACAGTAAAATAAATGTTTTTTACCCATATAATGTACACATAGCTATCATACAATAGACAGAAAACACCCAGTGCTGAAAGCCCTTTGGTACATGTAATATACAAAACAAATCCTTTACCAAACACCTGTCTAAATGTGAGTACCAAACCTGTACTTTACACATTTTGCCTTATTCGGATTTTTCATGCAATTGCAGAATACAATTCTGTACTTGGTGTAGTCATTAATAATCACAAAAGGTGTTCATAAAATAATGTATATCTCTCCTTTCTATATATATATAGTGTGCTGGCATTAAGCTGACAAATGCATCAATGACTGCAGACAGGTAACAAGTTGTGAATACTATTGAATAAATGTACATACATGTACATGTGTATGTATATTAATCCTCTCACTATTTCAAAAGAAGCACTCAATTTTCTTGGATTTCTGACAGTGCCCCTCCAACCTGCCTTTTTTATCACAAGTTTATAAAATAATGAATATACATACATGTGCATTGTACATGTTTAGATACTTTTTCAGATGAAAATTCTAAAGCTGAAAATAAAGGTAAAAACTTGTGAAAAAGTAGAAATTTGCCTCACACTTGTAGGATTTTTCACAAGTTCTATAAAATAAATAATCTGTACACTCTTGGTTTCAAATTGTATCAATCGGTTGATATTTAAGAGCCATTCTCTGTAATGATTGGAACTTTTATATAGGAGCTGTGGCACGCATAGTCTCAGAATTTCTCCAAACTCTCTATGAATAAAGTCTTTGATACCGTAAATTCAAATCAGGCAAAAATTGGTTGCTACGTGTCATGGTTACCATAGCAACATGTCGTAAAGTTTAAAAAATGGCATTTTTCAACATGTTCAGAGTCCCACAGTTAACGTTTGCAGCAAAGTAAACAAGTGGCAATGACTGTTTCTGAAAGTTGAAGGCCTGATGTCTTAAATGCATGATAAACATGTTTGGTAAATCAACTATAACATACGTTACTATGGAAACAAAGAATTCAAAAGTAATAATTTTGTTCATTTAATTTTATTAAGTCATACACTTAAGAATAAAAACAATTATAGGTTGAAATGCAAGCAAATAATAGACAAGAGATCCTTGTAACATATACCAAGGACAAAATATGATATTTCTTATAGGCTGACAATGGTTGCCATGGTTTTAATACCACGTAGGGATTTTAAATTTACTCTCTTAGTGTTTTAATCTTATCCTATCTTTTTAAAAAGCATATTTCTATATAACTGATGATCAATTTTTAAAGGCCTTGGTGTGACCCTAATTTTCACATTTCAAAAAATTCAATTTCAATTCTTTAAATAGCGCGTTGCTATGGAAATAAGGCGAAAAAATATGCATAAAATTCTGAAAAATACTCTGTTTCCTTGGATACGTACCCTTGTATGTAGATTCCCAAAACTTTTATGATTGATATATGTAAACAACTAACCTGACTTTCAATTTTGACCACCATCCAATCTCTAACTGGATGCAAAAAGCGGGCACATAGGGTCTAATATTGACATAAAATTAACAAAATAGAACATTTTTTCTTCTTGGTAACCATAGCAACAGTGTTGTATTTTTGAACAACCTTTATCAATATATGATATTCAACTTTAGTTCTACGAGATAAGTAATATTCAAGGTGATTCAAATAATATGTTTCTTGATTAAAAGGTAAGTAAATTACTAAGGCAGAAAAAAAATATCACTTTAAATAACTAGTACGCTGTTTCCATGGTTACACTGAAAAGTAACAATTAATCTCAATTTTTCTTATGTTGTCAGTGTTACAAGGTCCTAAGGATGTATATGTGCCAGTCATGAATTTTATTATTTTTCCTCAAGATAGCAGCATTAACCCAATCATAGCAACAGATTTTGCATGGTGACACTGTGTTACCATGGCAACCACGAAAGTTATTTTTAGAATAATATTGGCAATACCTAATTACATAAGATAAATATTTTTCATGGTTTTTCTTAGGTTTTTGATTGAGTTTGATCATGTAACATCTATCATTTGTGAATATTGAGCGTTTTGCAGCATTTTTCAGCATCTATAATGTATTCCAAATGTACCCATGGTTACCACTTACTTAGAGATAAATTCTAAATAGTTTCTTTATAGCATAAGTGGCAACAAGGTGTCAAGTGTTTGTGAGAATGGTGTGTTTGTTTTTCTTAGTCTTTATTAAGGCTTAATAAAGATTTAAAATAGCTGAAAATCTCAATTTTTTCAACTTTTCTGGCTGTTACCATGGCAACCAAGACACATAGCAACGAAATTCTATTTGATATATGTTTCCGGTGTGAAGTTATAATAATGGGCAAAGTTTCATCAAAATCGGTGACCATGCGTGGCAAAGAAGTTTAAGTGGTTACAGAGAATCGCTATTAAATACACAGCTCTATTATATAGAAGTCTAACAAATCAACCTGTTTACATCTCAGCTACACTTTGTAACACCTGGTGATGATACTGAGCCAGATTACTGACACTTTTCCGCACATCTGACACGACGGAACGTACCTGTAAAGTTCAGTTGAAAACTATATATCTATATATTGTCAATACATTACGTATGTATATGCACATGTATATGATTTTGTTAACAAAGAATTCTTTGAAATGATTGAAACCAAAATATATAACAGTGAAGTGTATATGACTTTTTTTGGTTCTTGTGGGATGTATTTTCATTATTTGAATACTGAGGCAGTAAAAATTCTTTGAAACATACCAGAGTGGTGAAGAAAGCACTTTCCCTTGGTTTTTCTGAATATCTCTCATACTGATCCAAACTATCCTGTAACTTTAATGTCAGACTGTCGTAGTTTGCTCTCACTACATCCAGAACCTACAGGAAATAAGAGATTGGGAATAAGAGATAGGGGTAAAGGTCATTCAATCATGTGGTCTGTGAGTTTCATTTTTGTTTTATACAGATACCTGTTCCTCTGTAAGGGAGGAGAGCTGATTGGCAGCTGCCCAGGAGTCCACTTTAGGAGAAAAATGATTGATGATGGCCCTGTCAAAGTGAAATGTAGAAACATTCAGAATAAACATGATCTGTAACTTTATTACTCTTTATCACACTGTAAAATCAAAAGTTTCATAAAGAAATAAAATTATTCCAATGAAAGTCATATCATTTATTTAGCATTACATATACAGAATGCTTAGTCCTCCTAACTAACTTGATATTGACAAGATGATTGGTTAATCTGGCCGCTGACTCTTTGCTCTCTCCATCACTTGTAGTGTACCTCAGAGCTATACAAAAAGTAAATTTTAATATCTGTGTTAACTGGAACAATATTGTAAAAAAAAAAAAATCAGCAATTCACTTTCATAAAACACTAAACTTTTGATAGAAATTTCTTACCCATTGAGTAGAGGTTGTCAAAAACTTGGTGCATTCTGATAATCTCGTAATACAGTTCATCATAGCTGTTAGGATTTGGCAGGAAGGTGTCACCATAGGTGATGAATAAGTTGAAAATATTCACAATCTAAATGTGCATGCTTACAAATCAAATTAATGCTTCCTAAATACTAACTTCTTTCATAAAGAGCATTACACATGGATATACAGTTTCAAAAAAGCAAACCTTAAGAAATAAAAATTCTAATAACAAATCAAAGTCCAACAATTTACTTTTAATTCACATACCTTTGAGGACAAATGGAAAATATTATTATGCTTCTTGAGGAGATTGGACTCATTGGACAACAGGTACTTCAGAAGATTGATCAGAGCTGCAACAGGAAAAGGCAGTCAGCTTCCTTATAAAACTTTACCATGGCATCATTGTAAAACACATTTGAAACTAGAAGTACATGTACTGTGAACACTGAGCTCAAAAAATGAGTCCCCCCCATCCTCTTATGAGTATAATGGCACAGTCCATATTTTGCTACAGGAAACCTCAAATATCTGTCAGATCAGAACATAAAAAATGGCACTATGTAATAAAGATTCTGTGAAAGTCCCATTAAATTTTATCCAGTGGTATAGGAGTTGAGGATAAGAGATGGGTATCCCCAAATGTTACAGATGTACGGAAAGATGTACAGATGGATGGACACCCCCACCATTATATACCTCCCGCTTTTCAAGCAGGGAGTATAATAACAACACTGACAAAAGTCATACAGGGCCCTTTCAAAGTGCTTATACAATGTATCAATGAACATTACATTTTGACCATGAGCTTTGAAGCAAATGATCTCCAAATATCTTATAGTGTCTCTTTTAACTGTAGAGTAAATATGAAGTCTGCATGCTGAAAACAGTCAAATTCTTGTGATCATCTGTAATCATATGTAAAGGGGGCAGGGGAAGGGATTAAACATTTAAATTACTTTATCACCTTACAACCTCTACAGATTCCTATTATATACTTAAATAAACTTAAAAGTAAGCAATGCAGTACATAAATGAGAAATAATGGAGCTCTTGGAGACTTACCAGTCCAAAGTTCTTTCCATGGATACTGGAGCCGAACTCGACACTTCTTCTGGTAACACAGGACTCGCTGTGTGATTCCCAAACATCGACTTCAACAAATAAAAATTTACAAAGGGTACAAAACAAGAAAACTTTTGGTGAGCTATAGATGACTTCATGCAAATATCAGAAAATTCTCCAATGGAACACTTACTTATACAACTCCAAAGGGAAGGATTTCATCATATGGCTCATTATAAATTCAACCATTAAATCTGAAATAATCAGAATCATTTCTAAAATGTAGAGTTGATCTTTATCTTAAAACATCCACAGGTACTTGTGGACAGGACCCCCCCCCCCCCCCCCCCCCGAATATACCCCTGGGTCAAAAAATATTTTTATATCTTTTTTTCATAAACCTTTCTTCTAGTACACATTTACAATGTATTCCATATGCAAAATCCAAAAAATAACGCAGAATTAACATTTTACTAAAAAAATCATACCCGCGGTATTATAAAATAGAGAAGGTAAGTCACTTCCATTTGTTAACACTGTACCCCTCTTGGATATTGGGCCTAAAATATCATATACCTACTACATGTCACCAAAATATGTCATTATATCTTGTTTCGGTAGACATTTTTGTCTTTAATCGTGCTATTTAATTGCCCAGGCATTCCACAATAATCCGAGTATTCATCGTCAAATGTGAAAAACGTTAAAAGATTTGAAAATGTCAAAGTAGAAATTATGGAAGTGATGCAAAAATGACACCTAGTGTGTAACTCTTGAGTTCCGAGTGTTAAAGAATTGAGGGAAAAGCCAGAGGTCTATGAAAAAGTTCGGGAAAATTTTGATAAAGAGGTCGAAATTGATTCATTAGAATTTAAATCTGCTTAAGATTTTCGAGATGAGTGAGGGTAGTTGTCAATATTCCCTTTAAAGGATGTTATCACTGATACCAAATAGTGTTTTAAATATGTGATTTGACAATACTTTACAATTGTACAAGAACCTTAGCAATAGTTTTAATTGTTATTACCTAAAAGAGCACAAACAAGGGGGCGAGAAGGGGTATCTTTTTCTACTTTCACTTTCCGATGTCTCATTGGCTGCAAATAAAGAACAAACATTATAAATTTTCAATCACAACAGTCACTTCCCAATGGTTTATTGGCTGCATATACTATCAACTCTTAATCCAAACATTCACTTTTGATGTCTCATTGGTTGCAAAAAATATCATATATTATTAGCTGCAGAACTGTAGGGTTATGGTTTTATATTTTAGTCTTTGACCATAATGCTACAGATCCTGTAATGCAAATATGGTGCAATTTACGGCACAAGATTTTCTGTGAACTTTGGGGATGTATTTCGCCCCTTTCCATCATTGGTCAATCAACTACCTTTCACTCCCTAATTCTAGACATATTCAATAACCAATCTGTATATTTTATCCATCCCCTTACCCTTTCTACAAATAAACTTGCTTGTGAATTTTATGCCAACCAACAACAAATTCACAACAAGCGAGTTTATTGGTCTGCAGAGACAATTAGAAAGGGTTAAAGAAAATGAACGGAAACTGAAAGTAATTGGAATTTTTCTAAGTCCAAAGTGCATAACTCTGTCAAAAATTGCATGATCGTATCCAAAACAGAACCTGACCTAGATATTCTTATGATAAATCTGTATACCAAATTTCATTTCAGTATGTGCAATCTCTGCAAATAAAATGAATGGAAACTGTTGGTGGACCAACAGACCGACAAACAGCAGCAAAGCAATATGCCCTCCCTTCTTTGAATAGGGGCATAATAATTCATTTTTATGCCCCCGGATCGAAAGATCCCGGGGGTATATTGTTTTTGTCCTGTCTGTCTGTTTGTCTGTTTATCTGTTTGTCTGTTTGTTTGTCTGTTTGTCTGTCTGTCTGTTGTCAACTTTAACCTTGCCCATAACTTTTGATTGGTTGGAGCTATGACTTTCATATTTCACATGTGTATTCCTTGTGACAAGACCTTTCTTTGGGTACCATCATATTTGACCTTTTGACCTTGACCTTGGAGTTTGACCCACTTTTGCAAAATTTTATGAGACTTTAACCTTGGCCATAACTTCTGAACAGTTGGAGCTTGGGGTTTCAAACTTCACATGTGTATTCTTTGTGACAAGGCCTTCTTTTTGATACCAACAACTTTGACTTTTTGACCTTGACCTTGGACTTTGACCTACTTTTGAAAAACTTTAACCTTGGCCATAACTTTTGAACAGTTGGTGCTTAGGGTTTCAAACTTCACATGTGTATTCCTTGTGACAAGACCTTCCTCTGGATATCAACCACTTTGACCCTTTTGACCTTGACCTAGGAGTTTGACCTACTTTTGAAAAACTTTAACCTTGGCCATAACTTTTGAATGGTTGGAGCTAGGGCTTTCATACTTCACATATGTAATCCTTGTGACAAGACCTTCCTTTGAATACCAACGACTTTGACCTTTTGACCTTGACCTAGGAGTTTGACCTACTTTTGAAAAACTTTAACCTTGGCCATAACTTTTGAATGGTTGATGCTAGGGCTTTCATACTTCACATATGTAATCCTTGTGACAAGACCTTCCTTTGGATACCAACCACTTTGACCCTTTGACCTTGACCTAGGAGTTTGACCTACTTTTGAAAAACTTTAACCTTGGCCATAACTTTTGAATGGTTGGTGCTAGGGCTTTCATACTTCACATATGTAATCCTTGTGACAAGATCTTCCTTTGGATACCAACCACTTTGACCTTGACCTTGACGTTTGACTTTTATTCAAAAAACTTTAACCTTCGCCATAATTTTTGAACAGTTGTATCTAGGTCTTTCAAATTTCACAGGTGTTTTCCTCGAGACAAGATCTTTCTTTGGGTATCAACATTTTTTATCTTTTGGCCTGGATTTTGACTTGCATTTGAGAAACTTTAACCTTCGACATAAGCTGCCATACGGGGGCATCAGTGTTTCACAAACACATCTTGTTTTTTTTATCTTCTCACTCTTGATCTACAATACAATATTTCTTTCCTAGGCATTCCCAGGTGACTACTGAGAGCGTATTAATCCCACAGATTTATTATTAAATATTTCAAAACAAAATACAAACCATTCTGTGTAGTTTGACTCGGAAGTTTATGTTGACATCATGCATAAGGGAGTTGGCATACTGATCCTAAAATTTAAGAAAAAATTTAAATGATCAGAGTACACGTCACTGGAATAATTACTGGAACAATAACTTTACAGAAAATTACAGGAATTTCACTTTGTCTCCCTCACCTCTGCAATGCATGTTAATATGACTAGACAAAGTTTGGCATTACTATGCCTTGTTTCATCTGAAAAAAAGAGTTTCAATTAATTTGTATGGCAATTTGTATTTTTCTTTAATTCATGTATTCAAGACATTTTCCCCTCTTATTCATATATTCAACTGATTTACAAATAGATATAAAACTAGAATAGTTAAAAATGTAAGATGTGAGAATTTTATTAACAACCATTTTCTGAAACTTGCCTACCTTTTGTATCCTGCATTACTATAGAACTGTACTCTAAAAATGTCACCAGCAGATTTGTAGGATGACTTGACTGCTCCAAAAGGGCTTTGTCTAAATTTTGCAGGGCTACATAGGTATTAGAAAAAGAAGAAAAGAAAGAAATATTTTCAATCTTCATATTTTTCCCTTGAGTACTAAAGCAGATAATTGCTTTATACACTACAGTGTATATTTCATATACATTTAATAGTGAATCACAGTGAATCTTGCATCAACAACTTACCAGGAGCCGGGTCATTGAGAGGATTGGACATAGGCACTGTCGGGGAAGAGGGGGGAGTGGTAGGTGTTGATGGCGTATGGGTCTGGTTAAACAAAAATTAAATCCATCTTACATATAGCAAAATATATATAATAGTTTTTCTCTGTTTTATTTGCAATATTAAAGATATTTTGAAATACACTTCAAACAGTAAAAGGCCAAATACTTTATCAAGAATAATCTGTATCTGAAATGAAAAAAAGTTGATCTTAGATATCTCAAGTGTTGATATCTTGAATAACATAGATATGTCAAAGTGAATTCGAGGTTTCAACCAAGTTTTCTTTTTATGTATCTTAACCTCGATGTCTCGAATCCTCATACGAGGGTTGTCCCAGAAAAACGCGAACTTTTTAAATATTTCATAAACTACCTTACCAAAATTATTCATTTTTGGCACAATGTTGGGAAATGATATTTTCGCCATTTTGACCAAATACCATAAGGTTGGAATGTTATATACATTTAGAAACAGCATTTAAAGTGTGTTAATTATCTGTGGTTTGCTCAAGGCAATTTCTTGACTCAAAATTAGCATTGCCATCAATGTTTTCTTTATTACCAGGCTATACGGAAATATAATGTGACAAAAATTGCATTCATAGAAACTGTACGATCTAGAATACTCGTGTGTAAAAAAATGAATACTTTGACATCATAAATAACAAAAATATGACGTTATATGTCCAAACAATATTAGTTAGATATTGTCAAAAACGGCGACGTCGGGTGATAACACGGAACACCAAATTATCACTCAGTACTGTGTGGAGCAGGGTATGACACCTGTTAATAGGGAAAAGGAACGAAGGAACAACAAAAATACATATATGGAACACTGGTTTATACATAGTAAAAGAGGTTCAAAGATGGATGGACTGGTTATCCGATGGAAGAAGTGTTTGGTAGACCAACAAAAATGACGACAAACTGGAAAGTCTAGAGCTGGACGTCATTCGTGGAGACCGCTGTTAACAATTATAAGTCTATGATCGGGGTTCAGAAATTGTCTATTAAAAGAATTAATTCCTTGATTTATTCTTAACTGTAGTATGCGTGTGAAATGGAGAACTCTGTGACTAAAAAAAATCCAATGCAGTATCGAATATTTGCTTCGAACGAAATTTTAAAGACGCACGATTTCTAACAAATTCAAAAACTCCATGAGCTACGTTTTGACGTCGTCGATGTTGCACCAGGAGCTATTTGAATGATTTGCTTATCAGAAATGAAAATGTTTTTTATAGAGATATTTTATTGAAATTTCTGTGAATTATGTAAAAAATGTTGGTTATGGTGTATGCCATTTTTATCTTTAAAATATTAGTGAAACGAAAAATATTGAAAAAGTTCGCGTTTTTCTGGGACAACCCTCGTATATATCAAAGTTTTTTCTTGGTTCCATTAAGTTCAAGATAACCAGGTTTGACTGTACAAATACATTGTACAATGAATTTTAACAGTAAAAATTGTGAAAAACATCTTTACTGAAATGATTCAAAATATTTAATTTGCAACAAGGGACCGACATGTAGTACCAAAATTTTTGCTGACTTCATTTCTCCCTCACAACAAATCATGACGATAGTTGCAAATTCTGGGTCACCTTACATTTGCTTTATTAATTACATTAATTATTAAAGTACTTTTGATCTTTTTAATGAGTATAAATTGTATAATAATTTTCCAAACTTACATGTGTTAAGGCGGTGATAAAATTTCTGTTTAAATGGATGGCCTCGTATAAAGCCAATAGCACCAAATCATTTGCTCTGCAAAGAATAAATAAATAAATTTATTTGATATTGCAATAAAGATATAATCCATTTCTTTTTAGAATTAATTATGCTGATTACTAAATCATATAGAGTTTGGGGTTTCAATGATATACCTGTCAACAGACATATGTCAAAATTTAACACTTGATCTGAACTCACAGAAAATGCCCCATACATGAATTCAAACAACAGCTGTAACTTCAGGTGTGTTAATCAAAGTATAAATCATAGCTAATGAAAAAAATGATGCTTGCTTATTAATTTACCTCACTGCTGATACATGTTTCTCGTCAGGTACAAACATATTGCCAACCTAAAATGTTCAAGAAATATATATTTTAGAGTTATTTCCCTTCATATTACATAAATCACTTTAAAGTATAACAATCTTCTAAATTTTTCATCAGAAACAGATTTTGATATCTGTATAGAAACTCAGATTTTCCAAACAAGAAGTACTAATGGTAAGATTACGTTGAGCTGCCAAATTGAGATAAAAAAAATTGTGTCCAAAGATTATTTGATGAAATACTTGATTCATGAAGTAAAAAAAATCCGTTCTAAACTCAAAATTTTTTCTTCTTGATTCTAAATAATTTCAGTAATTGATACAATAATTTTAATGGTCAATGTATCAGTATAATGTTAGCATGAACTTGTGTCAAAATATAATATTTATGATAAAAATACTATCTTATGGCATTTATATTTAAATTTTCCAAGATTATTAAAACACACAAAATAAAACCTTTATAACAAAGACGGAACCACTAAATGATTTAATGATACCTTCTGGTTCTACTGTATGATGACTGGAGAAGACATGCACTCAATGCGTGACACATGCCTCCGACTTGTTACGCAAAGGCATGTAGACCCTCTGACTCAAAGTAGAGCAAGGTATCTTGGATTCATTGCTTATACACTAGAGATTAAACTACAAACTAAGACAACTTACCATACTGGCAAAAGCAGAGAACCATCCCGCCTGTGCCTCAGTGCTGCGGCACTGATACTCCCTGAAAAATAGCATCAAGTCTTGTAGGTATGGTATCAGTAGGAGATTATAAAGGCCGGAACTTGGTATGATATTTGCCATGTATGGTAATTAAGATTATACCTTTGCATACATATCACATGCATTAATCAAGAGAAACATGAATTTGTATGATACAAAATAAACTGTTGGTTAGAAAATAAGTACTATGAGTGTTCGTTACCTGTTAAAGTCTGACAAAGCCCCTAGAACAACCTGGGCATATCCCTACAAAATTTAAAAGTGATGAGATAAAAAAAAATCATTTCATAGGTATAAAAGAAAACTGCATAAAATTTTTTAATCTCCAGCTTAACTTTTTCCCACCTATTTTTGGTTTTCAAATTACATCTGGCCTGATTTTTGAAGATTAATGAAAAGATAAAAAAAGCTTTTATACCCCCCCCCCCCTCCAATTTTCCTTCTTAGGAACAATTAATAAGTAAAACTCAGGTTAGCACATTTAGTTGCATAAAAAGTATTTTTTTAACACTGTAATTTGAACTCACTGTTAAAGCCAACTCATCATCCAATATAGACAATTTCACAATATATGGATTCGCAGACTGAAAGTAATGAAATTTAAAAGGGTTAAAAAATATATCTGCTTATATTGTAACACACATTCAATCCTTTGCACACAATATATTCCAGTTTTAAGTAGCAGTTCAGAGTATAAGATTAATATTTACCTCGTATTTTCTGTACTGCACTAAGAGAGTGAGAACCTGGACAGCATCAGCCCCTAGTACCAGTCTCAGGTCAACATTACCTAGAATCTACACAAACTAACTCACATCACCCAGTCATATGTATAACAACAGATACACAGTTGAAATCAGATTCATATTTTTCTAAACAATGTCTACATACATGTATTACTTTGGTTATTACTAGTCTTTAAAAAAATGTAATCTTTGCCAGACATAGTCTCAAAAACAAATAAACAAATGAACCCTTGGATGTTCTATGCCTGGATGATAAAAAATAAAATCCCTGGTCATTCTATACATGGATTATATATTGTAAATAAAATCCTTGGTCATTCTGTACCTGGATGATAGATTCAAACACACTGTTGATCATAAGGTACTCCAGGAGGGTATTCTGACTGATGTTATCACAAGCCTGCAAAATAAAGTAATGGAATTTAATATCAGCAAATATTGCATGGACACTCAGAAAATACAATTAAAGGAACAAACACCTGCATGTTTACTTTCTGATATGTACCATTTACATCATCAAAACCAGAGAATTTTGCAAAATGTTAATAAAAAATATGAACAGAGCCATACATTCCGAATATTCCCAAATTCCTAGTATTCATTTCTATTGCTATGACAAATGTGTATCCCTATGTATCACTACGTCCATACAAATGGTCAAAGAAGGGGTATCTATTTCATAAATAATGTATACATCTTTATGATGTCTTGACATGGTTAAATTACATAAACTGAGGTCTTACTGTGGCTAAAACCATGATGAATTTGAGAACTTGCTGTTTTATTGCAGTTGGGTACTCTCCATTCAGAATGTGATTCAAATTTTCGACCATTTCCTGTTAATAACAAAGTAAAAACTAACATTTCTAATATCAAAAAGATTGTCTTAATAGATTATTACATACCCTAAATTCACCCAAGTATATAAAAAAATGGATTTTTTTTTTTACAGTTTCTTTAATAAAAATGAAGCTAAAAAGTGTAAATAACCTGCATGACTGTTTCTGCGGCATCAAAGCCAATCAAGATATTTATAACATCAAAGCCAAAACCTCCGAAATTCTTCCTGTATATTCCACGAACTAATGCTGACATTGTCTGAAATTCAAAAAAAAAAAAGAATGCTTTGAAATAGTCAAAATTTTGTAAACAAAACCAAAGAACTATATACAGTAAAAGCATATTTTTGCCCCCATAAAAGCCAAATTTTGAAAATCTCTAAAAATATACACAATTGTATATATTGTATCAAAAATCATAATTGACAAAAATAATCATACTTGTAGTTTTTGAATAGTTTATTTTTCTGTGATGTCACAAACTATTTGGATTTTCTGTTATTTTCAAGAAAGAGGACAAAATGGACAAAATTTGTTCAATTTTGAGTATAGAATTTACCAAGCCCAAACATGCCCCAGAACAATATACACATATTTCATTGATATCATAATTCTACACATTATATCAAAAAATTGAGCTGGGGCGGACCTGCATTTGACTTTTAATCAAAATATCAATGTAAAATATACTTTTTTCCCTCAAAACCACTGAAATTTGAATTTATGTCATCTTCTTGATGTCATATCTAGCAAATGATATAATGGCTGATGTAAATGGGTACTGCTTTCAAGTCTGTGGACATTCCCGCTTTAGAACATGATTGTAGATTTCTCCACCAAAGTTTGACTTTTGGGGCAAATATTGGTCATAACAGAATATAGTCCTTTAAATTGATGATTGTACTTATATAAATGGCATTGACAACTCTGATGGCAAATGTTGGTCATAACAGAATATAGTCCTTTAAATTGATGATTGTACTTACATAAATGGCATTGACAACTCTGATGACATTATCTTCCTTCAAAGATTCTACTGCTTTGTAAAACAGGGTGTTTAAATTGTCCTAAAAGTAAATAACACAATTATAACATTTAATTAGAATACTTCTCACAGGTGAAATTGACCTTTTAGAACTTTTACAACATAGAATGTATTTCAGAGGTTCCATACCTTCAACATCATAAGGCCCTCGCCACTGACTTTATCAAATTCCCCCTCGATGAATGGAATATTTGGCTATGAATTGAGAATAGAAGCATAAGTTCAAAACATGTCTACAAAAGCATTGCAAAAAATGAATTCAATTTTTTTTTAAAATTATATAGTCATGAGTGTTCTTAAAGATAATGCAAAAACAAACTGAACAGGAAGTTATCTGTATGAATATATCAATTTCAATTTGAAATAATTCTTATTAATGTACAAATACTAGAATGAATTTGAACTAATTTGTGTATATATATATATATATATATATATATATATATATATATATATATATATATATATATATATATATATATATATATATATATATATATATTTAATAGACTGAGAAGTTTTTTAAGACTACAAATCATATAACTGAGCAGTTTTTTAAGGCTACAAATCATAATCATGTAATTGATAACCTTACCCTGAGCAAGAAAAACTCGTCCCAAAAGTTAGGATTTCCCACTGAAGGGTCTTCACCCTGATAAACACAAAGTTTATATTTTCTATTAGATCAAATCTATGTCTTTAATTGTCTTTCAAACATTTAAAATATATAAGTAAAGAAAGAATTTAAAATATAAATGAACCTGGAAGAAAGATTCATATATTTGGACAACTTTCTCCTTAAGAGCCATTTTACTTGATGAGCTTTTTCGTAACAATACTGCATGTCCATGTGTGCGTTTCAGATCTGTGCCTGCTTCTTGATTCATACTAAATTAGAAAAGAAAAAAAAAATCAATTAAAAAAAGAACTAAAACTTCACACACAGTGAATAAATTATCACTATTTCCTGGTTATCTTTCAATTTTTGTGAAAGCTATTAAGTCTACTGAAATTTTTTTCCCCTATGTGGTACATTTTCAATGCACAAGATGCTGTCACAAAATATCTATGGACTTTGGTACCAGGGTACTTAAAAAGTTCCTCTTTTTTCTCAGAAAAAAAAATTGCCAAAATGTTTGACAGTTTCCGAAAAAATTAAAAACAGTTCTGAGATAATTCATGTTATATTTAATTTTCCCAGAATGCCCCTAAAATTTAGAACTGTCTGAATGGCCGGAATTCGTCATTTTGAATCGGGTTTTAGTATTTGCACTTTGTTCATGTAGTTCTGCGCAAATTAAAGAAAAGTTTAAAAGTGTTAAAAAATCATGTGTTAGGAATTATTTGCAAGATGTGAAGGGTTTTGATAATGAGTAATCAATGTTACGAGACATCCGGTGCATAAAGATCAGTAGGTGCAACATTATTTTCAAAGAACAAGCCATGTAAACAACTTACAAGTGAGTTCAATTGAGCAGACACCATTACAGAGCCTGCATACCTTTATTATTATTTTTTTTTCACATATCAATAAGGTACATAGATATTTATAAACCAAGACCCAAGTACCTGTGCCAAACTGCAAAAAAATTAAAACATGCAACATTACAATTGCACAATCTTTTAAGCACTCATTGCAAAATTATTTTCTTCTACAGCATGTACAGGGGCTTGCTCCAACAGTATAAAAATATTTATCAAAAAAAATTATACACTACAAGTGTTGTTTTGGTTGTTGGTATATGATATATATATATATATATATATATATATATATATATATATATATATATATATATATATATATATATATATATTTCTTTACATCCGTAAGCAAGGCTGCAAGTCCCTGTGGTCTGGGGAAGATTCTTACATTAAGTTCAAACAATCTTGAAAATTATGATGGGCCTGGATCATTTATCCAAAGAAAAATATCAAGAACATGCTCAGTAAAGCCTTAGCTTTCTAAATACTAAATCGTTTTAACAATTCAATAAATTTACATACGTAATTTTATTGGTACGTTGAAATAGAGTTAACAGACTAATCCTGCATCATCTGCAACTTCCGGTACTGTTAAAATATAACGAACAAAATCATCTGGAAGGAATCTGCAATACACTGATACAATGTCTTCTAAAAAAAATAATTGTAAAAAATAACTTGATCAAGAGGATATTATTTTTGATTATAAACTAAATAACAGCGCAATCAAAATTTCATTAAAGTTTTTTTAAAGCATCATAAAGATTTCCGGATAAAAGCTATCCAAATGTGGAGTGTGTCCATTTACCCAAAAAGACTCAAAGGGAGCCGAGATTGAAACACTTTTTAAACTCATATTATACAATGATTTTTCGGGATATTCGTGTTTCCTCTAAAAATAAAGTAGTTTTCTTTACATATAATCATATAGAATTTAGATGTTGTTTGCACGTATAGATGTTCATAAATTGTATCTTAATTTTGACCTGGACTTTTTTTTTCAACGGTCACTTCATTTAAATTAAAAAATAATAATAAATTAATTTCCTAGGAAATATTAAAATGAACTTTCTATTAATATTTTATTCCCTTGGAAATGAAATAAAGAAAAATGATTATTTTACCATGTTTTTGTCAATTAGGGTCCCTTTGGGTTAATAGACGCATCTAAATAGGGGTGAATGAAATGTTTTGATAGCAAGATTTTTTGCAATATTTTAAAAACGTTTATAATAAACAGCGATTTATGCGCCAAAGTCAAACTTCATTAGTGGTAGATTGAGCATTTTTTGTCCCTGGAATCTGATTTGAGTACTTTAAAGATCATTTCTGTATACATTGATATTTTATTGGTTAAAGAAATATATATGGTAAATTCTACCCTCATGATAAAAGTCTCTTGAAATGTGAATAATTGCACCAAGTATCCTCGAGTACCCAAACTCTGCTCTGTCCAGGTGTCGGGTGGTTACGTTCCGTGTTCGACCCGCGTGGTTACGACCCAAGTGGTTTCGACCTACTCTAATATATATCCCTACATGTGAATACCTGAGTACAGGGGTATACACTGTGCGGTAAACAAATGGATATTCGGAAACTGTATATTGTATGGCTTCAGAGGTGTGCATGTCAATAGGTAGTTGTTTCCGTATGTGTAGTCAACGTGCAGTGAGAAGGTTTCCTAACATTTTTTTTCTACTATCGCGGATGTTGATGAATTTGATTTAGTAATGAATTATATTTGAACAGTTTTTCATAAAAAATAATCAAATACTTCTTCAAATGTACCGTGATCACATATGCACTATCTAAACATTAATGTAGGTTTCTCCAAATTAAATTACATACGATAATTAACACAAATATACGTGGTCAATATAAAAAAAAATGTAGACGAAAAAATAAAATGTAAAACTGGTGAAAGTGTTAATTAATTTTGTTCCGAAGCAATTAATTGTTAATTAATTGCTTCGTTCCGAAGCCATTCGGGTCGAACATGGATTCGTGTCGAAACCACGCGGGTCGAACAAGTAATGGGAATGTAACCACCCGCATTCCTCTGTCCATAAGCGGAAAACAGCCTGCCTTACTCTCTGAATTAATTTTTTGATTTGTTTCTTGTTTGCTACATATAGTAAAGAACTTAAACATTAGTTTTAGTAATATTATCGCCAAACCCCCTAACTCCGTCACTTTCGGGAAACTCCGAGCTGTTTGTAAACGAATGCGATTGTGACGTCTTTTTTTTTTTTTACATGCTGAAAATCTACAATCGGATGCTGATTTTTTTTCAATGGGGGAAAGAAGTAATAAAAATTCTACATTTGGTACTTTATACATTAAAGCATTTTTAAAATGGTCAATAAAAAGATAGAACTTATTCAATTTGTAAGGATTTTAAAACTGGATTTAAATGTTTTTATCAAATATAATAAAACAATTTGAAAAGTATAGGCAAAGGAAATAGAAGATAATGTTTCTGTATTATGTCAGGTTTGATTGAATTGACTACTCAGATGTCTCAATTATTAAACTCTGATAAGATAAAACTATGAGTATCATTAGGATTTTTACTTGGAAAGTTATCTCTTATCAGAGGGTCGGTCCCCATTGAGGTTTATTATTCAGTAAACACTGTAAAGTATGATAATTTAAGATCATTGAATTCTAATTTTATCATTATTGAAATATTCAGGTTAATTAGTGAAATCAGAAAAAGAAAAGTAAAATCTAAAACTGAGCTTAATTTTAGGTGATGATACTATGACAGAAGAACAGCAGTCTACACCTCAATGTCCCTCATTGCAGGTATTTATACAAGACTTATTTCTTGCTTTGTATATGAAAGATTTTGATCTATACACATTATAAAGGTTAAAAAAAATAATCATATTAAAAAAAAAGCATTTTAATACATGTAAGGATCTGTATGAGTTTGCAGATTGTGTATATAAATCATTGTTTAGCTGTGCATTCATTTGTATGTTAACAAATTTCCTATAACTATTTCCTGATTACTTTTTCCATTGATTTAAATATTGTTTAGTTTTAATATCTGGTACCAGAACAGTTGAACTTTGTTATTTTGAACACCGATATTGGGATGTAGAAGTGAGTTGTCAGTCCCAACCACCTTTCTTATGTTTTTAAACTTCATTATAAATGTAAAATCCTCATTTATCTCAAGTTAATCTTGGTCCCATTAAGTTCTTGATAACGAGGTTTGACTATACAGTAAAACATGCTTACAGAGAAGTGTCAGGAAGGAACAATTTTGCTTCATTATAAAATTAAAATGTAATTTGCTATATCTGTAGATATTTAGAATACATTGTCAAACCTCTGGGAATGAAAATCACCTAGATCTAAGCGTGAACTCATTATAAGTGGTATTCACTATTAGCATGTTTTACTGTATATTTTTTTCTGAGTGGAACTGAACTCCTATATTTAGATTTCATCTTACCTTTGAAAATTTTTTGGTGTAGACTTGCAGCATGATAATCATGAAAACTAGCCCTTTACTAAAATATGATTGAGTCCAGGGGATCAGGAGCCAGGGCCATAAAACTTAGATGAGCTAACTTTTGATCTCCGTCTCACTTTTACAAAAGTAATATATAGTGGAAAAGTGAGACTGAGATCAAAAGTGAGCTTGTCTAAGTTTTATGGCCCTGGGGCCAGGCCTCAGGTTGAAGCAAAGTTGGTCATATAATGTTTCTGGCATCTTGTTTCATAATTGAGTTGTCAAAATCACATTCCTCACCTATCCTCATCATCTTGTTGCAGATGAGCTCTGGATTGAAGGAGCGATTAAAGCGATGTGGACGATACCACTCCTCTCCCTTGGCTGGACAGAACCCCCACAGCCGAACACACTTCAATCCACCATCACTGGTGTCATCTAATAAATCAGGAATCCGAGAAATTCAAGAAAAAGAAAGCTGTGAATTACAAAAAGACATGCTTGTCAGTCCTCATGTTGATCAAAGTTATCCTGTGAATTCATGTAGGATGTCAGAGGTGCATTTTACAAAGAGTGCTAGTTTTACTGACAATGAGAACATGAGAATTCTTGGTGGCCATGATTCTGAAAGTGGGGATAATAGTGCTGTGTTAAACATCATTAAACCACAGAAATTAGACTTCTCAAAGGATCAGAACTGTGACGGTAACATCTCCGACGATACAAGTAATGAAAGGGACTCAAAAAATAAAATTATAGAGAAAAGTAAACTTCAGTCAATGATAAAAGAAAGAGAAGATGTCCTACGAAAACTCAAGCTTGTTCAATTTTACCAACACAAGGTAAGTGACATGTATATACATATTATATACAAACATGCACACAGATTAAGAGTTTACTTGGAATAATGAACTAGAATGACAATTTGCTGTTCTCTGCAGCATGACCTTGAGAAGATGGAAGAGTTGATCAGGAAATGGCGCTGCGTGTGTCAAGAGGGGTTGGTTGACCTCCTGAATTTGATGCCAGAACCTCGACCTGAGCTCACAGAACTGATTGATCATCTTGGTATTGATCACAAGATGATTGGATATGATAAGGAGGAGCAATCATTTGAGTGTACAGATTTAAATGGTTAATTGAATCATTTGAGTCACAGACTGGTTACTAAGACACTTTAACAGTTTTTAACATATGTCTCACAAATTATACTTTCACATTGTTTGCAAATCACTTCACTATGATACATGTGCTGATGATAAAATTTCAACCCCGAATATTTTTTTAGGATAACAAAATATATATGTAATGTCTGAAAATTGTAAGACATGTGTACACTTGTACTCAAAAGCCAAGTTGATGTTTCATGGATATATTTGTTAATTACTTTTTGTTAAATAACTTAAATTTATTTTTGTTACTCTGTTATGATCTGTTTTTATATATAAAGTATGAATTAGGGAGTCATGTTAAAAATTGATTTTATGTTGAGTGTGATCTTTTTTATTTTAATGGTAAAGTAGAGATATTATGAGTGAGCTCACAAAATGATAACCCCATTGACTTACATTAAGGCCATATACAGTCTTTGTGTCTGTCAGTTTTGAACTTCAATTTTTCCTCCCACACAAAGTTATAGATCAGACAATATGACAGTCAAAATGATTCATATATATACCCCCGCCCCAAACTTTGTTGAGGATGAATATAATAAAGAAAATATAAACTAGATGCATAAGAAAAAGTCAACACTAGAGGTACTGTGAGTGAGCTCACAAAATTACCACCCTCTCCTGCAATTTTTTTAAAGTGCCTATTTGCAATTTTGTAAATTTACTTTAAACATGCTAAAATAACCTTGGTTTAAAAAAATCACATATCCTCTGGTCTTAAGTGATCTTTGAGTGAAATATGGACATCCAATGTTTCTCCATTAGAAAATTAAAGACATGTCATGAAATTTTACACTTTTTCTGCCATTGACCTTGAAACTGTGAGTATGGCCTTGGGTCAAAGTCATGACACACTTTATCATATAAACAATGTGTGTACCAAATATTAGCTTCCAGTAAGGTATATACTGGACAAAAATTATATACTTTTCAGTGACCTTCCACTTGCAGAAAAACATTGAGTCAAGGTCATAGCACAGCTTATGGTTATAAACAATCTTTGTACCAAGTATGAGCTTCTATTGACTCTCCATTACAAAGTTATGGCCCGACCAAGAATTCTTTACTTTTTCTGTCAATGAACTTAAACTTGCCTGAATGACCTTGTTTCAAGGTCTTGCACACCCTCAGGTCATAAACAATCCTTGTACCAAGTATGAGCTTTGAATAATTTTTCATGTAACCATGAAAACAATGTACCAGTGGTTTAAAGTGATAATTTTTTGCTGTTTTAGAAATTTACAGGTTGTTACCTTTTAATCAGGAAACATATTATTTGACTCATCTTGATTTGTACGTATCTGATAGAACTAAAGTTAAATATCATATATTGATAAAGTTTGATAAGATTACACAGTTGCTATGGTTACGAAGAATAAAAGATGTTCAATTTTGTTATCTTGACAGCAATATTGATCCCTATGTGGTAGCTTCTTGCATCCAGTTAGAGATTGTGTGGTGGTTAAAAATGAAAGTTGTTCATAATTTATATCAATAATAAAAGTTTTGGAATCTACATAGAAGAGTATGTATCCAAGGAAACAAAATATTTTTCAGCTTTTGATAAATATTTTTTCCTATAATTTTCATAGCAATGCTCTATTTTAAGAATTAAATTTGAAATTTTTTAAATGTGAAAATTAGGAACACAAAATTGCCTTTAAAAATTGATCTCCAGTTATATAGAAATATGTGCTCTTTAAAAGGATAAGATCAGATAAAACATATACAAGGTAAATTTGAAGGCCCTTTTTGGTATTAAAACAATAGCAAACATTACCAACCAAAACGAAATATTTTCAGCTCACCTCAGCGAAGTTAGGAGGAGCTTATATAATACCCTTGGCGTCGGTGTCTGTCGTTGGCGTCTCAGGTTCAAATTTTTGAGCAGATTTCTTTTTAAGTACTTCTATGCCCTATATCAATCAGAGATGCATGGAAGATACTTTTAGTATGTTTCATTGTACTAGTCAAGGTTTCAGATGCAGCAATTTAAGCTAAAGAATGACCAGGTTAATGTTTTGGAGCAGGTGGTCAGATCAGACTCTTTAATTTATTCAGATCTTTAGCCTGCATTCTTGAAGGAGTTTGAAAAATGGCAGTTTTGAACATGTTCCGAGTCCCATGGTTAACTTTGCAGCAATGTAAAAAAAAAGTGACGTAGAGTGTTTCCAAAAGTTGAAGGCTTGATGTCTGAAAAGCATGATAAAGACATTTGTAAAACCAACTATTACATACAAAAATAAAATACGGAAATAAAAGTATTCAAAAGATATAAATTTATTCATTAGTTCGTTATTATAAAGTCATACACTCAAAAATAAAAGCAATTAAAAGGTTGAAATGCAACCTAATAATAGATAAAGATCCTTGTTAGTTTTTAAATATTGTTTCACGTCCCGTTCGAGAATTTTTCACTCATATAGAGACGTCACCATATACTAGTGAAGTGCTTCAAATTTAGACCTTTACTTAGCACTCAGGGCCATTGAGCAGTGAGGGTTCTTCATCGTGCCAACGCCTACCGTGACACGGGGCCTCGGTTTTTAAGGTCTCATCTGAAGGACCCGCAACTTTCTCTTCAAAGTGCCGAGCGTTTGGCGAAGGAACAGATGCTACCTATTATTTACCGACTTACGTCAGTCGTGGCCGTTATTCGAACACACGACCTTCCGATCACGGAGCGAGCGCTCTACCGACTGAGCTACCGCGACGGCTTTTTCTTAAGAAATACAGGTAATCAGAGATTACAGAGCTCACCTCCACGTATATTGTCTTTAAGTAAGGCAAAGTTTGGATCAGATAGGCCTTATACCCCGGTAGTTTCTTGGTAATGGATCTGCTCCAAAAACTTTAACCTGGTCACTCATAAGGAAAATGTAGGTCAAGTCCGGCATCTGAATCAACTCTGGTAGTGTGCATCCCTTGATGTGTCATCATGCAAGATTGTTTCAGGTAGGCCTTATAGTTTCTTGGTCATGGACCTGCTCCAAAAATTTGTTCACTCATCTGAAAAATGTAGGTCAAATCCCACATCCAAAGCAACTCTGGTAGTATGCAGCAATAAATTTATCTCAGTGCAAAGTTGGTTTGCATAGGGCTTATAGTCACATTAGAAAGAAACTGCTCAAAAAACATTAACCTGATCATTCATCTGGAAATATAGGTCAAATTCAGCGTCCGAAACAAGTCTAGTAGTGTGCATCTTTAGATGTATAATTAATTCATACAAATTTGGTCCAGGTAGGGCAAATATTTACGTAAGAATGAACATGTTCCAAAACCTTCAACCTGGTCACTCATCTGGAAAATGTAGGTCAGATCCAGCATCCGAAGCAAGCACAGTAGTGTGCATCCTTAGATGTATCATCCGTGCAAGTTTGGTCAACATAGGGTTTATAATTACTTTAGAATGAACCTGCTCCAAAAACTTTAACCTGGTCATTCATCTGAAAAATGTTGGTCAGATCTAGCATCCGAAGCAAGTCCAATAGAGTGCACCCCTAGATGTTTCATCCATGCAAGTTTGCTCAACATAGGGTTTATAGTTACTTGGAAATGAGACCCGTTCCAAAAACTTTATACAGGCATATGTACAGTGTCCATTGTCCATCTGGCCGTCTTCATAGCTACTCCTACATTATTGGTCAAGCTCAAGTAAAACGATGCACAGGGACGACATGGCGATACTTACAGTTTAAGTTTTGATTTCGATAAAAAGTGTCGCCATGGTTTCTAAAAGTAAAGTAATTAATCCTTTCAAAATCTCACTCTTCCTAAGATTTACACCGGTTTCAATGAAGCTTAGTGATTAGTACACAATAAACTACAAGCAGTTAGTTTTTGATTTCGATTAAAGGCGTTGCATTGGTTACTAAAAATCATTGTAACATTATTTACTCTCGTTTCAATATACAAGTAACATCAAGATACAAATTCTGTGTATTAGTTTTTTTAAATTTTAACTCTGTGGCTCGATCTAAAGTGGGAGAGTTAAATGTATGTCAATTCAAATAGCACGCCAAATTAAAAACTGTCTACAGTTTTACGGTAAATAGACTTTATTAGTTTTTCAATTGTAAATTAAGTAGTCTAGAAAGCGTATACTATAGAAGATGGTTTGCTAGCTATAGTTTTCATCTGTAAAACTACGTGTATTTAAAATCAAAGTCTATCTGCTTGTTAATAAACATTAATAATAAATATAGTTTTTTGTTGATAAATATTAATTCTTATCAATATATTTTTAATTATATATAATTAACTTTATTTCTTTGACCCTTCAGTTATGAATAATTATAGTTTCACAAATCGTGAAACTATATTTGTCAGATAAATTTACAGTAATTTATATTCATTAATTTTTTTTCATATATTATATACTTATGTACTATATACTTTTGAGGGATATTTGACAATCATAGTTTATTTAAGCATGTGCCGACAAATTGAATATCACGCGATATCGACGACATCCAAAAATAAGAATTCAATGCTTATATTTACATTCTCAATTTTTCTCTTTTATTAATTGATAATTTCATTAATCTTAATTATGAATTTAGTGCTTTTCAGAACTGGTGTGCTTAATTAATAGACGTAAGAGCCGTGTGACATCGGAAGTTAATAATGCAAATGAATATTGCGAGGGAAAAAATGAAAATTAGATTTAAACGTATCATTTAACAATATACATTTTAGTATTTTACAGTGTAGAAAATGCATATAGTTCCTATTGTTTATCCTACCGCGCAGTGCCAAGGTTTCGCGTAGGTTATAGGGTATTGAATTTTTCATGAAGAAAATTACTCTGAATGTAAATATGAACTATAATTCATACTCATGAACCATAGCTAAGAGCTATTAAAGATAGTTAATTATAATGAATTTTTAAATTTGTTTGCAATGAAAATGATGTTGCAGATTCGAATTTAATCATACTGTAGCTAGGGTTCGATTTACGAATAAAACCTGTTTTGTACGTGAACCATAGTTTATGGTCGAGATATAATTTCATAGAAAAAATGTGCAATTTTGATACAAAACATTCTGATATGATCTCAAATATAGTATTTTATTTGTCATTTCTTTATTTAGCGCCTTACATAACTGTAAACTAGTCTAAAATCGTAAACTACTGAATGTATTGGTCATTAACTTTATTTAAGAATTGTTAACCATAGCTTACTAATTGTGAAACAGTATCCATCAGATATATCATATTGTGCATAATAAACATAAGATAAAATTTAGCCCCACACTATACCAGAGTTAATAATCTGAATATAAAA